TTTATATAAAAGATAAAGATATGTTTAGTTATAGTGACAAAAATACAAGATATAGTTTCCTACTTAAAAGTTTTCTTGTGGTAAAGACCAGAAAGGAGGGAAAAATAAATAATTTTCACCACCCGCCCCCCTCAAATTTTCTTGGTTGAAATATAAAATGCCCCTGTCTTCAATGTGGTACACAAGTTGTAATAAATTCACAAGAAAGGCTTTCTTGTTACTCAAATCTATAAAATTACAGAACTTCATAATGTGACAAAGAGTCCAATTTTTTAAACACAAAAGAACAAGAACTTTGTTTTGTTTTATGCATTTTACTAAACCATTTTGATTGTTATATTTAAGCAAGAAGGAAATCTAATTGGTTCAAGGAACAATCCTACCTATTCAATAAATTGCAGGAATCAAACTTTGCCTGTCTTTTCATAAGAATGCTATGAAAATGAATGAATAGCAGATTGATGCTGTCAATACGTAATTAATATTTCTTAGCATACAATGAAAACTTTGAGTAAGATTCTAGTACAGGGATAGGAGACTCAAAGTAGAGACTCATTCTGAGTGCCTACTATGTGTACCCATACCATGCCACAATAACACATTTTCTTCCACTAAAACTGCCAAATTCTAGTTAGATCAATGGCCGCTTCTATGGTCTTCCCTCTGACCCAGTAGCAAGACTTGCCAATTTAAGAAAGTTGCTGCAGGGGTGCCTAGGTGGCTCAGTCGGTTAAGTATCTGACTTTGGCTCAGATCATGATCTCACAGTTTGTGTGTTTGAGCCCTGAGTCAGGCTCTGTGCTGACAGCTCAGAGCCTGGAGCCTGATTTGGATTCTGTGTCTTCCTCTCTGCCCCTCCCCTGCTTGTGCTCTGTCTTCCTCTCTCTTAAAAATAAATAAACATGAAAAAAATTTTTAATAATTAAAAAAAAAATAAAGCTGCTCTAAAGTCACTCACCAGTTCCATGGCAGGTCACTTTGAAAATTTATAGGGGTCTGTATACCAATTACTCCTTAGAGAAGAAACTCTAAATAAATATGTATCTTACTTTAAATGGCTTTATTTTACTAAATTGATACTTCCTTTTGCATGACCTATTATTCCAATTAGATTTTACTTAACTGACCTCCAACAAAATAACAGAAGCTCTCCCATTTCAATAAAAATATCAAAGTTGAAGTATGAACCATGTTAATATCTGTCACAAATAAACACTAATCTAAATTTTACGATATCATCACATAGCGAACAACTGAAAACTACTGATGCAGGTGCTTTATGTGCTAATGACAACCTCTTCCTTCCTTAGTTTCATTTTTTTATTACATTTAATAGGCTCAATCCTTTCCTAACCTACTCCCATTCCAGGTGAGCCCAAATAAGTTTTGCATTTCCTCACTAAGAATGAGGATTCAAAACTATTCTTCTCTTACTCTGGATAATTCTTGGAGTTGAATGTCTCTTCAGAATTGAATTAGAAACTGGTATTTGGGCTTGAATTGTGGTTGTCTGCTGTTATTTCTACTCACATAAGGTAGTACTTTTCATTAACAACAGGCATTATGGCCAGGATCACATTGAAGTACTGACCAATCACTGTAGGAAACCAAGGCTGATATTTAGGAAACATTTGAGTAGACTAACTCCATCATTATATGTACCAAAAGATGATAACATTCCATTTCTTTTTTAAAAGTTTGATGGTTTGAGTTATTCATTATTTCAAAGAGGTATTCCTAGGGAGACTGGACATTAAGCCCATTGAATGGGGTAAAAGAGTATCTGGGATTAGGTAGAATGGTCTCCCTGGATAAAGGGGAATGACATATACCAAACTCAAACATACTTAGCTTTTTCTAAGTCTTTCCTAACTGTCTGTCTTTCTGTCTTTCCTAACTCAGATAGAGACATTGAAACTTTCCAGAAGTCCAAAATAGGAACCTCAGAATGATCCTTGAATCTTCCAACTCTTTTACCTCTAACCCTAATTTTGTTAATCAACTAAAGCCTATCAAACATAACTATGAATTGCTTCTTCCTTTCCAATCTTATTGCCACTACTCTTTGATGGGTCACAAGATCTCTTCCCTGGGCTACTGTACTAGTCAACCAAGTGATACCTTTGCATCCATTCTTTTTAATGAATTCTGTTGCCTTTGTTTACCTTTTAAGTGTTAGTGTTCTGGGATTTCAGTTGCATACTCTCTTACTCTCTCATTCTATACTTTCTTGCTGGATAATTAATCTACCTCTGTGGACTCAAGTGCCCTTAATATGACTATCTCTAGCCTGGATCGCTGCCTTAGGCTTCAAACCTGTATGTTCACTGGTCTAAAGGATATCTCTATCTGGAGGTCCCACAGGAACTTCATCTGTCCCACCTCAAACCTACTCCTTGTTTTGTGGGCTCTATGTCAGAAAATAAAATCCCCATCTGCCCAGGTTAGAGAAGGAAACCAGGGTATTATTTTTGAATTCTTTTACTCATACCATTTGCGTTTATTTGTCTCTTAAATCTGTTCATCTCTCTCCACACCCATTGTCACTCTCTTAGTCCAGGCCATCATTAAATCCCACCTGGATCACTGTACTAGCCTCCTAAGTAGTCTTCCTACCTTCAGACCTGGCTTCAGAAATCCTGGCCACACTGGAGTGATTTTTCTAAAAGTACAAATATTAACATGCCTCTCTCCTGCTTCAAATCCTCCAATAGTTTATTACTGTCCTTAAAATCAAGTTCAAATTCCTACGTGACCTACAAGCTCCTCTAGGTTCCTGTGGAGCCTCATCACCAGCTACTCTCCCTTTAGCCAATTAAGCTCCATTGTGTTGTTTTTTAATATTTAGTTTCTCTATTTTCCCCTCTGGGCCTTTGGAAACTCTTTTCCCTCTTCCTGGAATATTCCTTCCCTCTCTCCTGGTCTCTTCACCTAACTCATCCTTAGATGCCACTTTGGATTTCATTTACTAATTTGAGAATACTTTCCTGACGATGACCCTCCCAAGATTGGGTTTGGTGGCCTCCTAATTTGCTCTAAAAGTACACTCCACTCATTTATTACAGCCATTTTTTTCTATACTCTAATTGCCTTGTCTCTCTCTCCTTAACCACAATATATGCTTTTTTGAAGGCCTTTATACTTTTGCTTATATTGTTTCCACTTTCTGGAATATCATTCCTCTGTTTTTTACCCCTGGAAAATGTTTTCTAAACCACTCCCAGATTCAATTCAGGCAGACTTAACAGCTCTTCTTCTAGGTTATCACAGAACCTTACACTTGAGTCTGTTACAGCACATACCTTGCTATATTGCAGTTATTTATTTTTAATAATGCCTCTGGCTAGACAATGAACTTTGGGAAGGTACATATTACCATACTCATTTTTAGATGCTTACCACAGTGCCTGGCATGTAGTAGTTCTTAAGTATGCACACTGGAATAATTAAAACAAAGTTAACTCTGTTTCAACTCCTCCCACCAAGAATCAGGCACAAGACAGGTAAGAGAAGAATGGTTCATTTAACAAAACGTGAAAATTAAAATGTATGGGTTTATACATGTTTGTTTTACCCTAGAAGTATTTGGCTTCCTTCCCAACCCACCCCTCTTTTTAAAAGTGCCATTTAGAGAGCTTCTATTAACTCTTATATGTAAATAAACCCTTCTGATTTATTCACTAACTCTAATTCCTCCTTGGCAAAAGAAAGAGCATGAGGAAAAAAAATTAAATGAGCTAAAAATATTATGAATAATGATCAGTTATGAACTTTAAAAGGTATATTCTGTGGCAGAAGTCACAAAGCCTTGATTTGAATCTTGACCCTGTCACTTTCTGACTTCGTGCAAGCCACTTATCTACCAAGCCTTGGTTTTTCCATCTGTGCAATAGGAGCAGTAATAATACATACTTCATACCTAAGGTTATGGTGAGAATTAAGACTTTATATATGTAAAACATTTAGAACAAAGCATAACATATAGTATGTGGTTAATAAGTGTTAGCTAGTATTATCATCTTAAATGGAGATTGTTTAATTACTAATCAAGAGTTATAATATGCTCCTAGATTATAAGAAATGTAATGATGGTATGGATTAAGTAGCAAATGACTATCAAGGACTGTGAAAATATAAAAACACTAAAGTGACAGATTAGTTTGTAAGTACCTAATTCATTAACAATATAGCACATTACACTAATTCCCATAATGCCTTCCAATTCTGGTTCTTAACTCCTAAGTTCTTGTTAATTTTCTCAAAGGATGTTATAAAATTAACTATGTAGTAAAAAAATAATAAACTTCAGAGTCTATACTTCTTTGTGTAAGAAAACTGTTAGAATTAAATGGAAATAAAATAAAATTTAAAAGTGGATGTATTATCATTCTAAAATCATTACCATCATTGCTAAAATAAGTGGCCTTGTTGAAATTCTAAAATACTAGCATTTGTATTTTAAAAATCTGATTTTAAAATGTCACATAATAATATTAATAACAATTCTAGCTTAAAAGCCAAAAAGATGATTATCAAAATATCTTGATATAGCCTGTAATTTTGATAAATGAAAAGGTTATGATTTAGCCATATTTTGAAATTACAGCCAAATCTTGATTATCTTTGGTCTGTGGAGATCTGGATGGCTGGAGTAGTTGAAATCTATATATGATTACAGAACTTTATCTTCAGCCTCTTTTCCCATCACATCTTTACCACAGTTAACTTAAGGGGCCAGTTTGCATTTCCACTCTCTTTCTTACTTGCACAAGGAAATGTCAAAATAAATAAATGAATAAAAATTTGACAACAAATAAAAACACAGGAAGGAAGGGCTAATCTATACACTAAATAACCGGTCTCTGAATAATCAAGAGTTGGCTGCACACATTACGTTTACCTTAAGAATCAAAATAGCCTCATTCTCGTTCATATCTTTCAATAAAAGCAAACAGGAGTTCCTGTGCCTTAACATTCCTAGTCAGAGTTTCTCTGAGTACCTGAAAGAACCCTGGTGGTACAGGACCTACTGGCATGCCATCTCCTGGGGGAATGTTTCCTAGCACTGGGCTGGGAGCTGCGGCAGCACTCTGCAAAGAATAAAGGAGAAACAAACCTATATCATTACAACGAAGGCACAAAACCAGACTAACGATAACAGATTGTAGGAAGGGAAGCTTTCATTCCCAGGAATAAATATTAGTAATTTCCCCCACTCCAGAGGTAAATAAAGATACAACAGTTAGTTTATATATGACTAAGTTATTTGGTTTAAACAAGTGTTTTAAAACTTTCTGAAATCACAGGATTTGAAGAAGATGGTATCTTTCAATGATATATAAAAGGCAAATAATAATACGACAAAAAGATAAAAGTTTAAGTAAATGCTTTATTTAAGGCACAGGCATCTGAAATGACAACATTAATAACAAATATGGAAATATGTCGGTAGTAAATATGAAAATGGTGGTTACAGAAGTTGGAAAAAAGAACTCTTTTTTAAGATTATGCTTTGCTTTGTCACAGACAAATACAATTAATTTTCTGCTTATAGGTGGTAACACATTATTCAATTTCTGATATGCTATAACTGGCAGCCAAAATAGAATTGTTAGCAAAAACAAAGTGGTGAGGATGAAAAAGTAATTAGGAGACTGAATAAAAGAAAAGAATTCGATTTAGAGAGATTAGTCTCATATAAACAGATTATGAAAAAAAAACGATTGAAAAACTCAGTCTACTTCACTTAGAAATTATTTCATGGCACACTAGAGCTTCATGAAATAGGAGAATGAAAAATTTTGAGTTAAATTCTTTGTAATTAAATATAGGTTTTAGATTTAATTCTTACACAGAACAGTAATACATATCACTATTCTATAATCATGGGTTTTCATTCCTCTACCTGGTTAGACATATTATAAATCCTAAGAACAGTCAAGAGATCAGAAATGTGCTGAAGAAAGATCAGTATGAATCCAACAGTTCTGCTACGAAAGAACTCAAAACAAATAATGGATCTAGTCTATCTGTCCCACTGTCCTTGCCTCTACATCAGGGTAGTCATTCACACATTAATATTCCATTAGAAGATGCAATATCAATATATTTATAGCCTACATTTCCTGGTATATAAATTTGTAAAAATACTAACACGTGTTTATTCTATAATACTAGTAGTTATTGATAATGAAGGCCAATGATTTGAGTGTTTCCTGAGAAAATGTAGATTTAAATGTGGTTATCTAAAATGTTGCTTACCTATGAATGCCAAAATTCTAAGCTTCTGATAAAGCAGATAAGTATAAAAGGAGAAATAATATATCTTAGATATTAAGATGAAACATTTATCTGTTATTCTATTTTAAGCAAAAGCATGCAATTTCATTAATGTACATTAAATACCCACTATTTGACAGATAGTGTTCTATTTTGCTTTATGTATCAACTTTCATATTTTTAAAAAATGAAAGGCAAATCTTTTTTTTTCATTTAACTAAACTGGTGTAAAATTTTAATATACAATGTTACAGTGACAGTTTAAATATATATGATTACAGCTTGATCTAGGAAGAAAGATTTGATCTAGATCCTTTGACAGTGAATTACTGTCATGGGCAAATTGCTCTCAGTACTAAGAGCTAGAGATAAGATGTCACTATTGTTCTAATTAATTGCAGAAGAGAAATATTTTTGAGACAAGTTTGTAAACTACTCTCACCTGTATTTTTATAGAAAAAATATACTACATTATATAGAAAAAATACTACTGTAGTTGTGTATTACAACTTTGAGCAGGTTTACAAAAAATAAAATAGAATTCAATGGGTTACTGCAACGTCTTAGTGTAATTCAAAGATGCTATTTTCCCCTCAGTTCTAATTGCTTAGAAAGTACATAAAAGAAGCTTTTGCCTCCCCTAAGGAAAAGAAAAAGTTTGTCTGCATCTAAATTAAAATTCAACAAGTAAAAATACTGGGTCATCGTTGGTTCCTTTATTTGTTTTCTTTTTGGGGACTATATTGTTTAAAGGCATATAATATGCTAGGTTTTTTTCCTTCTATGTTCTGCATTATATGTGCTCCCTTTTGTTTTTTTTTTTCGGCTATTATTTAAAAGTGAAACAAAATACATGATTCAGATGAAGATTTAAGCAAATTAAATCTTTAAAATGCCTTTTGAGTTTTCATTTTATGACTTCAAAATTATAGAATAAATTCAGTCAAAATATAAATTGCCAAGAAGTCTTTTAAGTTCTGCAACACAGCAGTTAACGCTATAGGGAAAAAAATCCTTGCTATTTGGAAGTTAACATTCTAGTGAAAGAAGAAAGATAATGGTGAGTGCTATGTAGAAAAAAAAGAGCAAGGAATAGGGAATTCCCAATAAAGGGATAGGGATTATAAATTTAAATAGAATAGTTGGGGGGGCACCTGGATGATTCCTCAGTTAAGTGTCAGACTTCAGCTCAGGTCATGATCTCACAGTTGGTGGGTTCAAGTGCTTTATTAGGCTCTGCACTGACAGCATGGAGCCTGGAGCCTTCAAATTCTGTGTCTCTTTCTCAATCACTCTCTCTGCATTCCTCTGCTTGTGCTCTCTCGCCCTCAAAAATAAATAAGCACTTAAAAAAATAAATAGAATATTTAGGAATGAATGAATAAATCACATAAACGAATGGATCATGTTATGGTGACTTATTTTTTTTTTAATTTTTACTTAAACATTTATTTACTTTTTGAGAGACAGAGAGAGACAGAGCTTGGGTGGGAGAGGGGCAGAGAGAGAGGGAGTCACTGATTCCTAAGCATACTCCAGGCTCTGAGTTGTCAGCACAGAGCCCAACATGGGGCTCACACTCACAAACCGCAAGATCATGACCTGAACCAAAGTTGGATGCTTAACCGACTGAGCCACCCAGGTCCCCCATCAACTTATTTAAATATGACTCTTGCTTTGTTGTTGAGGATGTCTTCCCACATTTCAAGATGTGCAAATTCTTCATTTGTACCTATTCCCTTACAGTGGCACAAGAATTGTGTGGAATTTTTTCTTTCTTAATAATCATACTTTGAAAAAAAAGTAGTCATACTTTGGGCATAATAATAGAAGTGTCTTGAAAACAGAAGAGTTTTATAGGTAGATGATTTATAGTATAGAGCATGATTTCATTTTCTGGTGTGATAGTAATTTCTATCCTTGGCTTAAGGATACAAAGTGATGTGAACAGAATCTTAATAATTACCCAGTTTGTTTACCTCATAGAAAGCACTAGTTCAGAGCATTTCAGCCCAAACTTCACTCTGTGGACCACATTTTTGAGCTAACTTATGCATCCAGTCTTCTGGGATTTATTGACAAAGGATAATTCACTGTTTATTGTACTGTGTGGACTCAAGCTTAGAGTACCATTTGGTACACCATGTAAATCATTAACAAATACTAATCTGATAATAAATACTACAGAGGTATACACACTAAGTGGCACTTCAAGCATTGTGAAAGAGTATATTTCTCAAATTGCTTAACTTGCTCACTTATAGCAATATAAATAATATATGCTTTGAAACTGTAAGCAAAATGAGAATCAAGTTTTGAGAATTAGTAATTTATGTAGAAGAAAGAAATACAAAATTTCTTCATTTCATTGATACAATTTCTCAGACATTTCAAGTTTACTTCCAACTTGTAAGAAATTTCTCTCTCTTGGGGCACCTGGGTGGCTCAGTAGATTAAGCGCCAACTTCTGCTCAGTTTATGATCTCACAGTTCGAGGGTTTGAGCCTCATGTTGGCCCTGTGCTGATAGCTCAGAGCCTGGAGTGTGCTTTGAATTCTGTGTCTCCCTCTCTCTCTCTCTGCCCCTCCCCAACTTGCACTCTGTCTTTCAAAAATAAATTTAAAAATTAAAAAAAAAATTATCTCTTGACTTGAGGATCCACAGAAAGTTGTTGGCTCTAACTGATAAAGTATGTATTATTCTTGACAGTTGTGACTAAATCACAGAAAAAGTGCAAGTAGTTTAACTATATTAAGAACTACTAGAAAGTATTAGTTTCACTGGGTTTGTGTGAATTCCCATTAGAATAACATGGAAAATCCTTTATTATATAATATATGCATGATTATTTAGGTTTGACTTTTTATATTCTCTCTCTCATAAAAAGAAAAACATGAAAATATTATGGTTTTAAAATATTTCTTTTTACCAAACTAAATACATAAGACTTCGGGCAAATGTGAAAAAATCATCATTAAAAGTGTTTTGTCTCTTCACTGGATTAATTTATATGCTTTCAGTATATACTTTCAGATATTTTCTAACTAGTCTTAAATCATTTATTTTGTCACAGGACTTAAATTTCAAGGTTTTTTTGAGAGTGACAACTTTACTTTTCCTTTTATATTTTCCCAAATCACTAATATAATTGTACCTACTTTTTATGTATTCAATGTATTAAATTTTTGGGAATTACTTGCTTTCCCAAGGACATACAAAAATGAACTTTAAAGAGTTACCATGAAATCTCTACATGTTGTTATATATTTATCTTTGTTTAAGTCTGTGTGGCCACTTTGCTCTCTTGGACTTCCTATACTTATATCATTCTACCCTTTAAGAAGGCATAAGTCAATTTGTGCCCTTTCCTTCTTCTTTTTGTGGTGTTTATTTTTCCCTTGTATATATGTCCAGCACCATTTCCCATTTTCCGCTTTCTCTTAAATGCTGTTGTATAACTGCACTTAAAAAATATTTTTGTTCTCTCTTTAATTCCCTATTTCTGAATTTAGAGAATAGAGAGATACACTGTTATTTCATATTTTATCTTCTTAAATAAAAATCTGAAATTAAAGCCAAAAGACTTCTTATTTTAATCTTAGTTATTATCATTAGTGGCCTCTGGTAGGAAAAAAAAAAGTTATATATAGTTTGATATGGAGGTTTCACAACAGGCATATAATAAAATTTTGTTTAAAAATAAAATTAGGATATAATTGATTACTAAATTAGTTAGCATTTATCAAGATTAAATAACTAATAGTTTTATTTAATAAGGATGTTAGAGAATCAGTTGCTTATCAGGGAATCA